CTTGCTTGTAAGAGGAGGTCGCTCTAATTACAGATGGGAATTATAAATAATTCACAATGATTTAAAGCACTGCACGTACTCATGAGAGAGGGGAAGCAGGGATTGGGCAGGGGTGTGTACTGAGGGGAGGCTGCTCTCTTTACTCTCTCTCTCTCTGTCATGACTGAAGATGGCTTTCAAATAACTGGGAAAGTCTGTGTGACTCTATCCTAGATGGTCTCAGGAAAGACCAGCTTCATCTAACCTCCATCCCAAAGCCAACATCATGGCCAGGGGTGCTGTTATTACCAACATGGCTGCTGGGGCCCTCTCCATGAGTTGAGAGAAATAGTTCTCATGGAAGTGAGTTTTATTGAATTGGGAGAAACATTTTTCCATGATCTGTTGTTGTTCCAGGAACAACTTCAAGACATGGTAGCTTACAATGACAATTAATTTTGTTGTTTCCCATGATTCTGTGGGGTAAGGATTTGAACAGGGCATGGCCACTGCCAGGAACTGTCTACCATCATGCCTTTCCTACATAATGTCCCCTGGGGCTGGAGTAAGCTATCTTTTGCATCTGAGTGACTCACATGCTCAGGCTGCAGTAGTCCAACTCTCTCTCTCTCTCTCTCTCTCTCTCTCTCTCTCTCTCTCTCTCTCTCTCTCTCTCGTGTGTGTGTGTGTGTGTGTGTGTGTGTGTGTGTGTGTGTGTGTGTGTGTGTGTTGGTGTGTGTCCCTGTTCCAGGGCTTCTCTTCTTACAGTGTCTCTCTAGAGTCTTCAGTAGGGTGGCTGGACTTTTTACATGCCAGTAGTGGGTTTTTAAGAGGTTAAAACAGAAACTTCCAAACCTTCCAGAAGCCTAGGCTCAGATATGGTGTCATTTCTGCTGCAGTTAAAGCAGGTTGCAGGCTTAGCCCAGATTCAAGAACAGGGAGCTGTCTGAAGGCATGGATGTCAGGTGTGGTTCACTGGGGACCACCAAAGTACAGAGGACCAGGATAACCAAAGATTGTGGACTTCAGAAAACAACCAGGTCTCTTTTGTTCATTTAGCTAGCTTCTTGAAGAAGATATGTTCATAAGAGATAGAACAAAGCTAACTAAACTCATTGACCATGGAGAGTATTTCCAATCTTCAGCCTTGTCCTGAGCCCAGAAGGCCAATCCCACTCTGAGGTCGATGAATTACTTGACACTGATTCCCCCCACATGCTGCCTGGGCCTACATGCCTTGTCAGCACTGGTACCATCACTTCCCATGTGGCCTGCTTTTCCTTTAGTGTTTTTGTGACATCTACCTGCTGGGGAATGTCTTTCTGTACACTGTGAATATATGTTATTCCCATTGGTTAATAAATAAGCTCCTTTGGCCTTTGGCAAGGCAGCTTGGAGGCAGGTGGGAAATCCAAGGAGAGAGACAGGAAGGAGAAAGGCAGAGTCTGGAGAGACGCCAGCACTGTTAGGAGAAGCAAGATGGTGGAAGTACCGGTAAGCCACGGCCACGTGGCAACTGATAGATACACAGAAATGGGTTAAGTTATAAGAGATACCTAGCGAGAAGCCTGCTGTAGGCCATGCAGTTTGTAAGTAATATAAGCCTCTGTGTGTTTACATGGGTTCGAGCGGCTGTGGGACCGCGGGCTACATCTACCCTCTGCTCTGCTGCCAGGCTGATCTTTCTAAAGTAGTGCCTCTGTTGTGACATTCTCTGGCCTTAAACTGTTCAGCGATTTTTCTTTTATTTACCAATAAACTCTAACATCGTAGGTGCTCAATGCTTTTGCCCCAGCCGACCATCCCAAAGTCTCCATCCATTGCTCAGATGCCTGGCTGGCCTTCCAGCTTTGTTCTGTCTGTCACTCTGCTCTCTCTGGTCCCTTAGCCAGGTGAGACTGTCCCTCTCTTGACTGCATCCATATTGGCCTTTCCTCCCAGGGTCTTCAGGTTCCTTCCCTCTCTCAGCCACCTCGGGTCACCAGGGTCTCAGTTGATACTTGTCAAACAAATGACAAAGATTTGGGGGGAAATGCAAGTCACAGTTTTCACCCCCTTATCATCCCTCTCTTAGCGTGTGGGATGCTGAAGCTCATTGCTCACTCTGGTGGCCCACCCTCTCATCTCAGAACGGGCTTCCTTTACGGGTTGGTGTCTATTGTTTATACTTCAAAGCTATCAATCCTGTTCTGTCCTCTGAAACCACATGAAAAATTAGGACAAACTTTCTTCTGTTAAAGCAGTTTCTGAATGTCTGAGTCGCCCTAGAATTTATGTTGATACCCAATCCCCTTTGTGATCAAGACATAGGTTCCCTATTGGTTAATATCGGTGATCATCTTGACAGGATCTAGAGTCACTTAGGAAAGAAAGCTCTGGGCATGGAGGACTGTCCAGATTACATTAATTGAGATAGGAATACCCACCCTAAATATGGTTGGCAACATCCCATTGCCTGGGGTCCTGGAGGGGAAACTGAGGAGAGTACCAGCATTCATGGGTCTCTGCTTCCTGGCTGTGGATGCAATGAGACCAGCTACCTCACACGCCTGCTGCCGTGCCTTCCCTGTCCTGACAGACCACACCTCTTTAAAGTGTGAGTTGCTTCCTCTCAGGTGTTCTATCATAGCAGCAAGAAAAGTAATCCAGAAAAGGGCCTCTGGGAGGTATTACGTCATTAACAGGACTAACGTCAAGGGATGATGTTCATATGCCATTACCTTATGTGGCAGAAGATGTCATCATCTTTAAAGAATGGAGCTCTGCTTGACAATCTGCCAGCATCTCTATCCTAGACTTTGCATCCTCCAGAGCTGTGAGAAATAAACATGCCTGCATATTGTCTATAGTGTATAGTGCCCATGTTGTGGTGTCCCAGAGGACTGAGACAGGCAATCACTAGGTTCCCACAGTCTTTTCTCCAGGTTTTGCTTCTGTAAACACCACTATTGCAAAGATGGATGGTTTTGAGAGCCTGTGCTGGGCAGAATCAGAGAGTCCTCCTTGCCCTGCCTAGTTCCTTGAGGTTTAGTTAGACCTTACAGATTTGCCTTCAGCTACCAACAGAATATATCAGCACACCAAAGCCTTCCCAACCTCCCCCCAAAAGGAAATGTAATATTGATAATATGACATAAAAGACACATTGTGAATCCCACTCAGTACTCTCTGTATCAGTTTGGATCATCCGAAGGTGACACCCCAAATTATACTCACATATACTTTTATAGGATTTCTTTTCTGTAGTAAGTTGTTTCCACCACTATGGAAGCAGAAAGATCAAATTTTGGTGGCATTCTTTCCACCAGACCATCTTTTCCCCTTGTCCCTTCAGTTCCTCTGTAAATAGTCCATGACCATGGGACCTCACATCACCAGCAGAGACTAAGCATCAATTAGGCACACTTACCTGATGGAGCCCAGGCCAGCAGGGCACTGTCAGGGGCTGCCTCCAAGCATGCCTGAGGATCAAAGTGACTTCCTTTAGTGTGTGCTGGCTTCAAACACTTTCAAGGTTTTCTGAGGGTAGCTTCAGGCAAAGGGAGGGGAAATGTTTCCATAGATTCAGGATTTGGAATTCACAGGGAGCCTAGCATTCTGTGACACCTTGTCCCCATGACTCTTCATGTTTTTTGTTCCCCTTGCTCCGGGCAGCCGGTTAAGCTTATCGTGGGCTAACTGCCTAGATCAGTGGTTCTCAACCTGTGGGTCTCGAGTCTAATGACCCTTTTACGGAGGTCGCCTAAGCCCATCGGAATACACAGATATTTACATTATGATTCATAACGGTAGCAAAATTACAGTTACATAGTAGCAATAAAAAATAATTTTATGGTTGGGGGTCACCACAACGTGAGGAACTGTTTTAAGAGTCACAGAGCCGGGAAGGCTGAGAACCACTGGCCTAGATTCTTACACCAACACTGCCAGGCCACAGCGCCCTTCAGTCCATATGGTGACTCAATGATGGAAAAGTTGGCTTGTTCGGTTTTTCAGAGAACAAACAACCGTCTCTTTGAGGAGAATATCCAAATGACATGAGAGGATGCTTTTTGCAGACACAGTGCACAGAGAAGTAGGTAATACTGAGAACCCACAGCTGGGGTCTGTGTCCCCCCAAATCCCAGGAGGTATTAGACTCTTCTTCCTAAGGAACAGGTCAGCTCTAGTTTGTAACAATTTTAAATGTCTTAACTAAAGTAAATATTTGTTGACATAGTAGAAAATAATCACCTCTCTAATGGTTTAAATAGAGAAAGGCCCTCTGATGCAGCCATGCAGGGCCCTGGTAGGTACCCCTGCTCCGTTCCCCCCGGTTCCCCTGCTCCGTTCCCCCCAAACCCCACTTTGAGCCCCACCCGGTCCAGCCTCCCCCAGCTTGAAAACCCATTTGTAATCATTACTTGGTGTCAGGTCTATTGATGAAGTACGTTTTCGCCCTTTGCCTTGGTGGCTGCGTGCAGGGACAGGCCTGGCCACAGAGGTGAGAGGGAGGTCCAGTCTTGCATTGCCCGAGGTGCATGAATCATGTCAGGAGGGGTTGGTGACCCGAGCCCATCTCTTGCCTCATCACAGACCTCCATGACACTCCTTCCAACTTAATTTCAGCCTAAGGGATGCTTTTAAGAAGATTTTAGAGCTCAAAAACATCTCCTCAGAAGAATTGTAGTTACATTAAAAACTAATTATCCGAGCTTAGGGGTATAGATCTGCTGCCATATTTTACACAGGGAGCAATTCGTCTTCCAGGCTCTGAAATATCATTACATAATAAGTTAAAGACACTAACCCAGAGGATACTGGGAAAAAGATAGTAAAATCACCTGAAAAATGAAGCACGGTGAGATTATGACAGAATAGCACTGCTCTCCTGCAACAGCTGTTTCCAAGAAGACACAATTTAAGATTAACGCCCCAAATGAGCCTGTGCAAAAGTGTGGGGGGCAGCGTGGTTTGTCTTGGGCCCTCAGGTTAAATGTGATATTTATCTTTGAAGTGCGTTCCTTTTTTTTTTGCCACAGGGAATTAGATACTACAAGAAGAATATGGACAATGCAATAACTCCAACGACCCACAGTGGATTGGAAGACTTCTTAATTGCATGGTGTGGCTCTTGAGTCTCCTAACATACACATGTAGGTGGGTATTATCATTATCATTATCATTATTATTATTATTATTATTATATTATTTTGCAGTTGAGGGGACACTGTGAATTATGGTCTTTTGGGGGAGTTAACAGGGAACCCAACTAAAAATGGCATCATTGGTAATTTACTATTTCATGTAACTGAATGAAACATTGTTAATGGATGCTACTGTAGTGATGGACTCAGTTTCTTTCTATGCTTCTGTCTTCTAGGGTGTCCCCTTCTTCCTCAAACCAATCCCCTTCATGCTCCCAAGATGGCTGCTGGTAGCTCCCAGGAGACCACATCCAGAGGATATTTTCATCTCAGCATCCACTTGGAGAGTCCTGGAGTTCTTTCTGACTGGGCTATCTTTGGTCATGTGGTCATAGCTGAATCAATGAATAGGCTCATGGGCTTAGCTTAGATTGCTGGTCCTGCCCCTGGAGCTGATGTCACAGTCATAGTTCCTGGGTACATGAGGACCTCAAATGGGAGCCCAGAGAAGCTTCAGATGGTGTGTGTGTGTGTGTGTGTGTGTGTGTGTGTGTGTGTGTGTGTGTGTGTACGTGTCTATACAAGTTTGTGTGTGTGCATGTGCATTTGTAAGTGGGGCACTCATTCACATGTGTGACCATGCAGGTGGAGGCCAGAGGACAGCCTCAGGTATGGCTCTTTAGGAGACATCTGCCTTGTTTATGTGAGTCAGGGCCTCTCAGGCAGATGTGGGACTCTCCAGGATATTCCAGGGATCTACCTGTCTCTACATCTCTAGTTGTGGGATTACAGGTGTGTGCAACATTCCTAGATTTTTATGTGGGTTCTGTGGGATTAAACTTGAATCCTTGTGCTTATAAAACAAGCACTTTATGGGCTCAGCTTCCTCTCAACACTGAAGTTCCAGACATGTACCAGAGACAGGCAGCTGGTCCGTGCTTCCTGAAGGTAATTACTGACAGATCTTGGATTGAACCCAGGTAGCCTCCTTCCAAGGCTTTTCCTCTGAACCGTTGTCCTTCTGGCACCTCCTTGCTCTTAGAGCTCCTTCTGTTTCTTTACGGAAAACGTCACTCTGACTTTAGTGACAATAACTTTTGGTGGCAAAACACCAATTCCAGAAAACCACAGGAAATGTGGTCTTATGGTGTGAAATGGTGGAAAGGGCCAAGAACAGAGACCCAGTCTCCTGATTAAACTTGGACAGGTCACTTCCTCTTCCCAGGGCCTCCACCTTCCTCACTGGCAAATGGAAAGCAGTGGGTTCTTCCTCCAACAAACCTATGCAGAGATCAAGCAAGACAGTGCTGTGTGAAAGAGTCCCCAAATATTTGTTTGTACTAAACAATCTCTACGTGGGACATCTCTGCCTCTTTTGTTCCACGTATGAGAAACTGACATGAAAAGTCTTTCATTTACGCCTCCAACAGATTTTATTCAACAAATCTTCTCATTGATACAGTCTGTCAACATTGCCTCCAAAGAAAGGCAAAGATCTTCAGGAGCACTCTGTGAAACCTGTGCCAAGGCTGAGGTAGGATGTGCATTCATAAGAAGCTCTTAGCTTCCTCTTGTGGAGGTGGAATGATTATGTATGTAAATGTTATTCTACTTTTAATTAAACTACAGCCTCATTGAAATGGAAGGTGGAAAGATCCCGGACCTGTTCCATGTCTAGATGTAATGTACCTTTGAGGTAGGAAAAAAAATGTGGGGACACAGTTGGAATCAGATGTGGGGCTCCCCCACCCCATTATCTGCCTTCTCTGTGGCTTTATTATGAGTGAAGACAGGCCAATGAAGTCATGCTGTCAACAGAATGAAGGAGTCTCCCAAAGATCTGACATTGCTTCTCCAAGGGATTGTTTCAAGGGTGGTCCAAGAGCTTTTAGGAATCCTATGCTCTTGGTCTAAGAGGGTCATGGGTGACCACAAAGGTGGAATACATAGGCAGTCCAATGGTATCCTGTGCGCTTGCTGCTTTTCTTTATTTTACAATTATTGAACCAACTGTGTGCCAGGCACTGGACTCTATACTAGGGGTCTAGATAGCAATGAACAGACAAATGACAACCCTTGACCTCCAGGGAGGTGTCAGTCCCATAGAGAGACTTGAGTGTCACCAGATCTTGTCACAGTGAGATAGTAAATAAGCCTCCCTTGCAATCCTGAGACAAGATGGAAAGTGTTAATTTGTGACCGTGCCTTTGGAGATATGGGTCAAGGACTGGATGGACAAGGCCTCTGGAGGTGTGCCAAGAGCTCCAACTCATCCCTGCCATTCAGTGAAGGTCTTGGTTAGTATTCTATCTGTGCCATCCACATCTAGCTTCCTGCAGCTCCTTGAAGATAACAACTCTCCTCTTCCTGACCTCTGACCACATATTTTGTCTGCCCCAAATGTGTCTCCAATTCTGCCACCAGTTCACTACCCTCCCAACTCTGTCATCTCCAAACATCAGGGTACTGCTGGACAACCCTGAACTCTCAGGTCTAGGTTGGGGTACGCCTATACAATGCTCCCTATTCTTCATTGTTGTAATAAGTTCTAAATCAGCTGTCTTCTGCCTCACTAGATTTTGGCCTCTAGTCTGACTCAGACAGTTCTGTCTTGGTCAAGAGTCTATCTGTTCTGATTAGTTTAACATCAGCTTGACAAAAGCTGGAGTTATGTGAAAGGAAGACCCTCAATTGAGAAAATGCCTCCATAAGATTCAGCTGTAGAGTATTTTCTTAATTAGCAATTGAAGAGAGAGGACCTAGCCCATTGCGGATGGTGTCGTCCCTGGACTGGTGGTCCTGGGTTCTGTAAGAAAGCAGGCTGAGTAAACCATGGAGAGCAAGTCCATGAGTAGCCTCCTCCATGGCCTCTGCATCAGCTACTGCCTCCAGGTCCTTACCCTGTTTGAGTCTTCTACTCTCCTGACTTCCTTCGATGATAGACTATGATGTAGGAGAGTAAGTGAAATAAACCCTTTCCTCCCCAACTTGCCTTTGGTCATGGTGTTTCATCACAGCAATAGGAACACTAAGACACCATCCAGTATCTAGTATGGCACGTATCAGACTCATACTTGCTGATCGGTTAGCAGGTTCATTTTTTGGTTATAACACTGAATTGCATTCTGAGTCCAATATCTATTTGAGCTCTTGTGTCCCTTAACGCTTATGACAGCTTCTGTCTTGAAACTTGTGCCTCTTCCCTGCGAGTCTCTGACAATGTGCATTTGTTGTTGGCTTTCTGAGCACTGATCATCCCATACTCTCTCATATACCCCTCCCTGCTTTCTAAAACCCAATTCACAGCCTCTGTTTTCTTTTCTTACAAGCCAAATTGTTATTGCATGTACACACACATATGTGTGTGTGTGTGTGTGTGTGTGTGTGTGTGTGTGTGTGTGTGTGTGTGTGTGTGTGTATGTATGCCACCAGATCTCCTGGCACCAGAATTACAGATGGTTGTAAGCTGCTACATGGGTCCTGGGAATCAAAGCAGGGTCGTTTGGAAGAGCAGCAACTGTTCTTACCCATTGAGCGGACTCCCCAGAACCATTGTTTGTGTTTTTAATGGTAGGTATTCCGACTGGGGTGAGATGAGATCTGCTTTGATTCCTCTGATGATAATAGATCTACTAGTATTGTTTGTGTCCTTTTGGTTTGGTTTTGGGAGCTCATATGCATTTATAAATTTAGTCATTTCTTCCTGGCTTTTCAACTTAATCATAATTATAAGTTTTCAAATAACCTATGTTTTATTGGTAATTGTTATAATAATTCCTTTTCACCTTTAGTTTATTTATTTAGGTCTTCTTTATCTTTAATTCCTTGTTTTCTTCTTTTTGAATTTCTGTTGATTAATCATCTGTCAATTTTGTTTATCGTTTTGAAACCAGCTCATTGTTTCATTGATTGTTTTGTATTGTTCATTTAGACTCCATTTAATTAATTTCTTGTCTGGTGATTTTTAAAATTATTTTCACATGTTAATTTTTGAATTTTGTTTGTTCTCGTCTAAGACCTTGAAATACATCATTAAGTTATTTATTTAGGTCAGGTGGTGGCGGCACTCACCTTTATTCCCAGCACTCAGGAGGCAGAGGCAGGTGGATCTCATTTTGAGGCTAGCCTGGTCTACAGAGTGAGTTCCAGGACAGCCATGGCTACACAGAGAAACCCTGTCTTGGGGGAAAAAGTTATTTAACATCTGTTTGAAGTCCGTCTGATTGTTATTATTACTTACTTAATTTTTGGAGACAGGTTCTCACACATCCCAGGTTGGCAAACATTTTATGCCAAGGGCAAAATAATACGTAGTCTAGATTTTGCAAGCATACAGTATCTATATCTCAATGATTCAGCACTGTACTGACATGTGAAACAGTCATACATGACACAGAAATGAATGAGTACCGGCTAAAACTTTAGTGATGAACACTAAAGTTTGAATCTCATATAGTTTGCACAAGTCCTGCAATATTGTTCTTTGTATTAAAAAAAAACTTTAAAAAATGTAAAACTCAGTCTGAGCTCAAAGGCCACACAAAAACATGGCTGTGGTTTGCAAGCCCTGGTCATAAAGAGAAACCGTTTATGCTAAACTACCGTTGGATGTGCCAAACCATGCTTGAGGGATAATAATTCTTAAAGGGAGAGTTAGGAAATAGACACCTTTAATTATGGTACTGTGGTTACCCAAGGACTCATTCATATGCTCTCCCTATCCCATCCCTACCAGAGACAGAAGCTTGCCATGTAGCCCAGGTTGGACTCAAACTTGTCATGGAGCCAATTCTGGTCCAGAATACTCACTTCTCATGCTACCATAATGACTCTTGAGAAATGACTGCCATCTGCAAAACCAGATCTTTATGTACAACCTGCATGCTGAGTGAGCTATTTTTAGATTCTTAAGATAATCAAACAACATTTCAAATAACTGGTTTTTCAAACTCTAATGATCAGGCATGTGCAAGCGAGGCTTTTAGATATATCAGGATTTTGGTGAGATGGAAAGTTGAACTTGAATCTGGCTGGTTGCTCTGAGACATACATCTTAGCAATTTCTTGGATTTTTTTCCCTGTACCTTAGAAATGGGAGCTAATAGTAGGAGCTTGTGGCTGTGTGTGAGAGTCAGCAATACATTTTAAAAACACGGCATGATCTTCATATATTTTTAAGATTCCAGTCTGCTCCCCCCCCCCCCCCCCCGTGGATGCCCACCCAGCCTTGGCATCTGTGGTCCTCAGGGAGAAGAACTGGTGTGTATGTCTGTGTATGTGCCCATTATTCCCTGCCCTTTTCCATTTAGGCAGTACTGGCCACCTCGGCATCACAGAACCCATAGACGTCGGAAGAGGCTGTAGCTTGTTATATGCCGAAACCATTATTAAAAGGAAAATAAAGTTAGTAAAGACAGGCATGGAGGAAGCTAGGGTGGAGGCGGGGGAAACATGTAAGCAGATGGAGTTCCATTTTATTGGGGAGGAAATGGAAAATTACAACATTTTGATTTTCTTGGAAAATTGAGTAGCCTGTCAGCCTACCCAAAGTATAAAGAGCAAACTGGATCACTCGTTCACCTACGAGGACAAATGTCCTGATTTGCGACCAGTCACCCCATCTTCTTTGATGAACAGAGCTTTCTCTTAAGTAAACAGTTAAGGCCTAATTGGATCATTGGTATGGTGTCACAGTAATTAATGTACAGTCTGGAGTAGTTACATATACCTCAGCTGGAGCAACACCAGGTGAGTGCTGCTGGGAAACCAAAGGCACCTGTGGGATCCAGCCAGTACCACCATTGTTCTTGGTGATGAGGAGAAACATGGGGAGAAACATGAGGGATGTCTCCAGGATACCTCATACGTTATGTAGAGGTCAGAGCAACGGCAGAGGACTAGTTATTAGGGCTTTATTACCATGCTTAGTTAAGAGGGGATGAAAATGGCCTCCAGGAGGGTAAGCCATGCTCACATTGATTTTGTGTCTTGCTCATTGGCTCAGACTGGGATGCAGACACCAACTTGAGTTAGTTTAAACCTAACAAAGGAATTCACTTAAGGACTCAGGAGGAAGGCAAGAGGAAAGCAGGTAGACAGACCTCTGGGGAGGAATCCGCTCAGGTTCTGGAGTGGAAGCCGGCAGCCGGCTAGCCTCTCCTACTTCTGCTCCTCTTAGGACTAGCCTGATTTGTTTGTCCGTATCTGGAAGCTTCCTGACCCATGTTCTAGTCCACGTTGAACACTCCTGTTCTCCAAAGGAAGAAAAGCCCTCATGTCCAGTGCTCAGCAGTTTTCAGGGTAGAAATAATGACAGCTTGGAGATCGTCCAAAGTTGCTTCCAAGTTGCCACCATGAAGCTGGAGGTGAGAAGAGAAGCAGGGACCCCGGAACATTGTTTCCACCTTGCATGAGTGGAAGTATGAAAAACCTCCAAAGCATAGACCATAGCAGAGTGGGGCTTGTTATTAGGAGATAAGGACCTCCAGTAGCTGCTTTTTTTTTGTTGTTGTTAATTGAGGCAGGGTCTCATGTAGCCCAAGTTGGCCTCGAACTCACTACGAGGTAAAGGATGACCTTGAACTTCTGATTCTCTTGCCTCTGCCTCCTGAGTTGTGATTATAGGTGAGCATAGCCATGCTCAGTTTGTGTGGTGTCAGGACTTGAACCCAGGATTTCATGCATACGAGGCAAGCCCTCTACCAGTGAAGCCATAATTCCAGCCTGCTACCTTAGCTTAATTAATATAATTAAAGTTTGTATATCTATCTATCTATCTATCTATCTATCTATCTATCTATCTATCTATCTATATCTGTATTAAATCAATCACTCGTTTTCCATGCTGAATATCAAGCCCAGGGCTTCTCATATGTGAGGTAAGTACTGTCCCAGAGCCATACCCCAGCAAGCTGGTTTTCATGCTCATGTTGACGATTTCAGACGAGAACTCCAGACAGTTTAATAATTGGCTCTTTGGACTGGTCTGCAGGAGCTGATTGGAGCACACTGCTGTTTTCTTCCCACTTTGGCAGCTCTGAGCGATTCCCTAAAAGCCTCATTTTTATCTTTCACATTTTATGTCCTGTTCATCATTATCTCCATTTTGCAGATTGGGAAAATGAGGCCCAGAGACCTTTAGTTACTTAAAGTCACACAGTTAGTCAACTGCTGAGCAGAAATTCAGATTGGGACCCATCCTTTGCCTCAAAGCTCTCTTCCCACCAGACATCGTGTCCCGCTGCTGGAAGAATTCAAAGTCAGGTGCTTAAATAACAAACTTCCGGAGCCCGAGGGGTCGAAGCACTTGGGACAGAGAAAAGACACAGGTTTGTGTAAGATTACTAGAATAAAGCCATGATGTCATTTTTGCCCCCGAATCCGAATCTCAGGGCAACCATTTTCTACCTTCTGGTCTCCAGGGGCAAGAAGCCTGTATCGACTTATTGTAATTTGGGGTTTGCCACAGCTCCGGTAGAACTGAATAGGGGTTCGGATGCTCATTTCTACCCTGCCCATTGTTGGTCATCCCCCAGCCACTTTGTGCTCTTCTGCCCTCAGGTACTGGGTCCAGTTAATTCTTCCTGCAATTAGTATTCATGGTCAGCTAAGCAGAGCTAATACAACAAACCGGCTTCCTTTGAAGGTCACATTACATGTCTCTGAGCTCCTGCGGGCAGGCGCCTTGTGAATGAGATATTCTCAACTATCCTAGGAATTTAATTTTCCTGTTTCTAGATTTCCAAGTCTACCTATTGAATTCTTTCCTGTGATTCCCTAGAAAGCCCGAAGAGACAGCCAGCCAGACAAGAGCAGAGTCAAACTGTTGTTAGCATCTAAAGATGTTTCTTCCCCTGGTGGGACAGGGTGGCCGAACAGGTCCCTGCTTGTCCGAGAGTGGCTAGAAAATTATACATATATTGTTTTTGGGGAAAGGCTGAATTCAGATTATTTCAAAACAATTTGCAACCATTTCAGGTAATTTCTTGGATAACAGAAGCAACAAGAAATATCCTTTAAAAAGAATTTAAAAAGCATATTTTTAGAACAGCAAAGGGGACCTCATACCAAATGCATGATGCCAGTTTATAATACTTCAAATGGTCCAAAATGGTCAGAAAATTCACTTAGCTGCTTTGGAGAAATTCTAATGTGGCTGAAATGATGACACAAGCCAGCCAATTCCATCCTGGGAAAGAAGGTCAACACAATATGTCTACTGGGCAGCAGTTAGGATAGCCTGACAATGTTGTTTATCTTATTTTCCTTCTTTTTATAGTTAAACACAGCATCAGTTTTAATTTATGTTACTTGAAGAAACAAATCTAGGAACACAATAACTTCTGGCTTTTGTTGTTGTTTAAGACACCATTAATTCATAGCAGACTTGGTTTAAAATTTTCCCTTTCTCAGATTTTATATTCTCTCTCTCTCTCTCTCTCCCTTTTTTTTTTTTAAAGATTTATTTATTGTTTTAAGTCATTTATTTATTATATATACAGTATTCTGCCTGCATGTACGCCTGCACACCAGAAGAGGGCACCAGATCCCATTATAGATGGTTGTGAGCCACCATGTGGTTGCTGGGAATTGAACTCAGGACCTCTGGAAGAGCAGTCAGTGCTCTTAACCTCTGAGCCATCTCTCCAGCCCTCTCTCTCCCTTTTAATACAGGGTTTCACTATGTCACTCAGTCTACTCTAGAACTCATGATTCTCCTGCCTTAGCCTCCTGAGTGCTGGGCTTACAAGGCTTGTACAATTAGGCTTGGCTTTATACTTTCTTCTTCTTCTTCTTCTTCTTCTTCTTCTTCTTCTTCTTCTTCTTCTTCTTCTTCTTCTTCTTCTTCTTCTTCTCTCCTCCTCCTTCTCCTCCTTCTCCCTTCCCCCTCCTTCTCTTTCTCCTCCTTCTTCTCCTCTTTCCTCTTCCTCCTCTTCCTTTTTCTTTTGAAATTGATACACAGCATTTTGGAGCCAGCAAGTCTTATGCCCATAAGATAGTGTTTTCCATTTTGCTTTGGCCACTAGGAAGCTCTGGATGGATTCTGGTGGTCTATAGGCCTCCCTGGTACCAAGTCACCTAGACCGCTCCTGCCTCTGGACTCAGGTTACCTTATTCTCTCTTACTTGTTACAAATGTGTGTTGGTTCCTGGAAGCTGCCTTTCACTCTTTCACGTCTGAAACAAAGGAGGTAACACGAACAGACTGTGAGAAAGGTAGGGGTGAGGCTCTGCTTTCTTTGGGGTGGGGTCTCCAGTGCTGTCCAAATCTCTGCTTCGTTTCAGCTTATCCCAGGACCCTACCCCGTGTCAGGCCGTTCCATGTCCAGTGGGGAAGGCAGCACAAAGACAAAGCTGGTATGCTGACTCTGCTCCCTCTCAGCAGTTTGCCTAGTGTCCTGCTCTGAGCGGAGCATGAGAGGTAGACCCTACAGGCTGGCCATTGGGGGTGCTGCACTCAGCTCAGAGAAGAGGTCTGCCCGCCCAATGGTCCTGGGGTGAATAACGCTCAAACTTACCAATACCCTCCCCCTTCCTCCTCTCTTCCTTCCCTCTTCCTTTCTTCTCCCCTCCTTTCTCCCCTTCCCTCCCTCCTTCCCTTTCTCCCCTCCCATCCTTCTCTTCTTCCTCTTTCTTCCCCTTCCCTCCCTTATCCCCCTCCTCTTCCTCCTTCCTCCTTCCCTCCTTAACCTCTTTCCTCTCCCTCCCCTCCCCTCCCCTCCCTCTGTCCTCTTTCCTTCTCCCCTTCCCCTCCATTCCCTTCTCCTCCCTATTCTTCTTTCTCCCTCTCCCCTCCCTCCCCTCTCTACTCACCTTTCCAGATCTCCCTGGAGGCGCTTCTTCTCCACCTGACACCCAGAGATGTCATCCCCTTGGAAGATAACTGCTGAATCGCATCTCTTTCCTTGCTTGGTCCACATGCTGCCCTCACCTCCAGAGTGAGTCAGGGAGTCACATTGGAAAACATCCGTTTCCTCTGAAGGATTCTACTGTAAGAATGCCATAGACCCACAACTGCGTCTGCAAGGAAAAGCAAAGCAGAACTCTCTCTTCTACAGTCTGCTTAGCTAATAAGATTCCTAAACAAACATATGCCTAGAAAGCACTCTCACACACCAAAGGCCCACAGCCTTTCTCCTGCAGAGCACTGCAGATGTGCAGGCCCTGCAGCTGCCTGTTGTTTCTAGAAAAGAGAATAAAAGGCGGTTCCTGTCCTAAGGTTCTTCTCAAAAGGCGTTAGGACAGCAGACATTTCTGACATGTCAAGCACAGGTGATTAGAGCAGGCCTATGTAAATCAGTTAATATCTGTAATTTCCCTTGTTCTACAATGCTATTAGTTATTTCAAGGGTAAAAAAGGATGTTTTAGTTAATTTTTTTGAATCTTACTAGGTACCCGTAGCTTAACTTAATGATTTGTATAAGTGATAGTAATTGCTAGGACTACGGTCGAGTATTATTAGCTATAAAATGAACATGGTTATATGTTCAACAGAACTAGCAAGGGACAGAAATGCAGTTGTATCCAAGAGAAAATAATTACAGCAATAATCAGTGTAATTCATGATAATGGCTGAATTGAATTTCACACCATAGCTCCAAGCACTTACATTTAATGAATGTAGTTTGTGCTTGTTGACTAAAAAGGTTTTTAGCAGAAAATCGATAATGTAACTTCAGTGTTTCTAATTGCGTTTGCAATTATTTTTTTTTAAAGTAGCAGTTCAATAAGGATTTTGTAGAGAAAATTGAGGTATGTGAGTGCCGTGAATGCTGGTGTGTTAATTACTCTTCCTGTACATTAGTGCTGCAGTGCCTTAATATCTATTTATTACAACATATTGATTAAAATGGATTTGTATTCAATTTTAAGGCTAGCTAATGTAATGGACATTGAGACTTTTCTGGAAGCATTGGCTGGGATTACAAGTCACTGGTGTAATGAGGCTTCTTCCAAGAGGCGATTTCAGAACCCATTGGACAAAGCGAGTGGTGGGGCCAAGTGCAGGGGGGGCCAGAATGTGCACTAGATTCCACGGAGAGTGGCAAGGACATGTGGCCCCAGACACATGGCGACAAGTCACAGAGCCCCACTTGGGATAACCGGTTTATGTGTGTGTGTGTGTGTGTGTGTGTGTGTGTGTGTGTGTGTGTGTGTTTCTGAGTCTGAGGATGCCAGGATCCCTCAGGGCAAAGCTTTTTGGCAGAGTATGTTCTTACTTTGGAGAAACTGAGGCACTTTGTCCTGCTTCAGCCTCGAGATCTTGGAGGAAGGAGGTGCACTGGCTTTACGTAGACACCACATTTCTGGTTCCCACCAGTGTAAGGTGGACCAGCATTCTTTGCTTGACTGTGACTCATTTAAATATTATCATTCTCATGGGTTTCACTGGAGTTGCTTACAGGAGTAGAGGTGAGGGGGTTTTTGTTTGTTTGTTTGTCTTTTTGTTTGGTTTCTTTTTTTGTTTGTTTGTTTGTTTGTTTGAGACAGGGTTTCTCTGTGTAGCCTTGGCTGTCCTGGAACTCCTTCTGTAGACCAGGCTGGCCTTGAACTCACAGAGATCTGCCTGGCTTGGAATAAAGGTATGCACTACCACCACCCAACTAAGGTGAGGGGTTCTTTAAAAGCATGAGTGCCTTGCTCTTGTCTACACCTCTGAATAAAATCCCTCTCCCTGAACAGCTTCAGGGAGAGGTGGGTCCTTGAGGGCTCCTCCCTGCCTCTGAGACAGAATGATTTAATATCCTTGGCCAAAACTAATACTGTTCCATGAGCATGGGAGATCTTTCCATCTTCTGATATCTTCTTCAGTTTCTTTCCTCAAAGACTTAAAGTTTTTTCTATACAAGTTCTCCCCTTGCTTGGTTAGACTTATTTTATATTATTTTAGGCTAATGTGAATGGTGTTGTTTTCTTGAGTTCTTTCTCAGTCCATTTGTCATTTGTATATCAGAGGGCTACTGATTTTTGTGAGTTAATCTTGTATCCAGCCACTTTGCTGAAAGTGTTTATCAACTGTAGGAGTTTCCTGGTGGGATTTTAGTGTCACTTGTGTATACTAATCATATCATCTGCAAAGAACGATATTTTGACTTCTTCCTTTCCAATTTGTATCCTCTTGATCCCCTTCAGTTGTCTTATTGCTCTAGCCAGAACTTCAAGTACTATATTGAGTAGATATGGAGAGAGTGGACAATCTTGTCTTATTCCTGATTTTAGTGGAATTGCTTTGAGTTTCTCTCCATTTAATTTGATGTTGGCTATAGGCTTGCTGTAAATTGTCTTCATTTATTTTTTCTTTTTCCTGGTTTTTTGAGATAGTGTTTCTTAATGTAGCATTGGCTGTCCTGGAACTTGCTCAGTAGACTAGGCTAGACTTGGTAAATTGCCTTTATTATGTTTAGGTATGCCCTTTGTTTTATTTATTTTTTTTTTTATTTTTTTGGTTTTTCGAGACAGGGTTTCTCTGTGTAGCTTTGCGCCTCTCTTGGAACTCACTTGGTAGCCCAGGCTGGCCTCGAACTCACAGAGATCCGCCTGGCTCTGCCTCCCGAGTGCTGGGATTAAAGGCGTGCGCCACCACCGCCCGGCTAGGTATGCCCTTTGTATTCCTAATCTCTCTAAGACTTTTATCATGAAGGGGTGTTGGATTTTGTCAAAGGCCTTTTCTGCATCTAATGAGATGATCGTGAGTTTTTTTTCTTTCAGTTTGTTTATATGGTGGATTACAGTTATTGATTTTCATATATTGAACCACCCCTGCATCTCTGGAACGAAGCCTACTTGATCATTGTTGCTAAAGTTTTCCTGCCTGGCCCACAGTCAGGACAAATCTCTCTCACCTGCCAGTCCCACAGCCGCTCAGACCCAACCAAGTAAACACAGAGACTTATATTGCTTACAAACTATATGGCCATGGCAGGCTTCTTGCTAACTGTTCTTATATCTTAAATTAATCCATTTCTATAAATCTATACCTTGCCACATGGCTTGTGGCTTACCAGCATCTTCACAAACAAACATGCTGTTTGTCATCGTGGCAGCTGGCAGTGTCTCTCTGACTCAGCCTTCCACTTCCCAACTTTATTCTCCTCCTTGTCCTGCCTATACTTCCTGCCTAGACACTGGCCAATCAGTGATTTATTTACTGACCAATCAGCAACACACTTGACAAACAGACCATCCCACAGCAGATCATGGTGGATAATTTTTTTGATGTGTTCTTGGATTCAGTTTTCAAGTATTTTTTTTTTTTTTTTGGTTTTTCGAGACAGGATTTCTCTGTGTAGCTTTGCGCCTTTCCTGGAACTCGCTTTGGAGACCAGGCTGGCCTTGAACTCACAGAGATCCGCCTGGCTCTGCCTCCCGAGTGCTGGGATTAAAGGCGTGCGCCACCACTGCCCGGCTCAGTTTTCAAGTATTTTACTGAGTATTTTGCATCTATGTTCTTAAGGGAAATTTGTCTGTAATTCTCATTCTTTGTTAGATCTTTATGTGGTTTGGGCATCAGGGTAATATTGATCAAGTATTTGATATGTATTTACTTTAAATTCATTTAAATAAAAATAAATGATATATTTTCAAAAACAAAACAAAACTAATCCTGGATCTTGCCTCTTTTCCTCTTTGCTTGTGTTTCGGTCCCCGCCGCCATCCCCACCACCATCCCTGCTGCCATCCCCACCCACCATTCCCTTCCTCTTCTTTGATGTCTTATCCTGTGGTCTACAGGATCTGCCCTTACAAGACACAATGGGACTAGATGATGTGGATTAGCTCCAAGAAGCTGAAAATCCCCCAGTGACCAGCTTTTGGGACAGGATTTCCAGTCTTGTCTTTTTGGTACCCTGGCATTACTATCTCAAAACCAAATTTAATTTTGAACTTGTCCTCTGGAGGACAGAGCAGGATTGTATAATACAGGAAACAACATTGATAAGCTATTGAAATCCAAAAGGATTTAACAATGAAAAACATGTGTACGTACGTACGTACGTATGTATGTACGTGTGTGTGTGTGTGTGTGTGTGTGTGTGTGTGTGTGTGTGTGTGTGTGTGTGTTTGCAGGTGTATGGACCTATACCCATGTCTGTTTTGGCTAGAGATCAACATTGAATGCTTGCTCTATTACTGTCCATTTTGTCTTTTGAATCAGGGCTTCTTAATGAATGTTTAGCTCATCATTTCGGCTACACTGAGTGGCCAGGAAGTCCATGTGTTTAACCCTGCTGCCCCCATCCCCACCTCAGTGCTAAGGTTATATGGTTTTTTCTGTGGGTGCTAAGGATCCAAATTCAGGTCCTCATGCTTGCATGGCAAACACTTTCCCTGCTGAGCCATCTTCCCAGATCCCCAAAGGTCTTAAGTCCCAATTCACACAATACTGCCAAGGGGCCTTGGAGAGGGCTACAATCCTGCCTTCTAACATCATCTTTTATCATACTTATATTCAACACAATCCAGGCAAGGAGCATGTTGAGTGTCTGGGTCACCAGGCCTGGGTTATTGGCCTTTTAGAGAACTGCTTCCTCCCCTCCAGTGACTGACTGGGCTCCTATCACCCCCAAAGAGGCTTTCTCAAGAATCTGGGGCTCACCAGCCAGTTGCCTCTTCTGACTTCCTGTGGCTATCAGAAAAGGGGCCACCAGCTGAGTACTTCCTGCTTGTGGTACATGCCAGGTGCACCATGTGAGTCGTCTGCTTTTATAACTCTGTGAGTCAGTCAAGGATGCTCTCATTTTCCAGAAGCACAGTGAGACTCTATGGGGTAAGTCACTGGTCCAGGTAGAGGCAGCTATAAGGTCAGTGGAAGAAGTGGAGTTAGTCCCTCGGCCTTTCTGTACACTTCACTGAACTTCTCAGCATCTGTGTCTGTACACACCATCACCTACAATGAGATCTAGCCATCCTCCCTCCTCCCTCCACCCTATCCCCTGTTCCTAAATCACTGTTAGGTGAATGGTTTATGTTAAGGTACAGGTGGCTCTGACTAGATTGTACCTCTCTTTTCATGTCAGGCATGGGCTTTTGCAGAGTCTGGAGACTGAGGTATGATCTGGAGCCTGCACAGGGCATTTCAATGTTTTGGGACTATGCTGGCACTCACATGCTAGAAAACACCTGTTTCCCAGAGAGGAAGCAGGATGGAGAAGCAGGGTACAGCTGATGAGTTGTCAGGACAGGGTGATGGGTGGGAAGAAGCATTTTCATGCCCATGGACACCTACTGTATTCTTTACTTCCAGAACTCAATTCCAATGTCTGCAGCAGGGGAGTTAATGATGGTCCTTGAGTTGACTTGCCCCTGGCCTCCTGTCAAGGCTGGGCTGGAGGCATCTCTTTTTCTGCCTGGATTTGGGGAACGTTTGTGACCATTGCCATTTGATACAGCATTTCATTATGTATGCAACTGTGGCTGGCCTTGAACTTGGGGTGGTCCTCCTGCCTCAGCTTCCCCAGTGCTAGGGTTACAGGCATGCACTATTGTGCTAGGCACTGCATTTGGAAACTTTGGAGTGTTTGGAAAGGATAGTGAACCCCTGTAATTAAAAAGAAGGATGCAAGCTGCTAGACGAACGGAGCTTCTGGTCTCAGAATTCTATCCAATCTGCGTGAAAATAGCTCCCGAGAAACATCCCCTGTCCTTTGCTGCCCCAACCGGGAAACACCCAATGCTTTGATAGAGAGTCATTAGTCTATGGATTAAAAAACCCACGCTTAGCCAACCTTCCTTGATCCCTTTTGGCACATGGTATAAACAGAAGACTATGGCTCCATGAGGCCAACCAGGAGCCCAGGGCTGGCAGAATGATGTCTCTGCTGGACTGGAAAAGACAGACACCCTGACTGTTTGACCAACAAATGTATAGAAAATAGCAGCTGGTAAGTAGCAATTACATAATAATCTTGTCCAAAAGAAAATGTGGGCTCAAATTAAGATGATTTCACAGGAAAACATTAAGGTATACAAAGAGTTCTTAATAAATAGAAATAAATAGTGCAGGGTTTTGCGCCATGGTTATTTTCGGTGGTTATCTGACCCGTCGCGGCGGCTGTTCAGGTGCATTTTCCGCAGGGCTCAGTGCGGCATTTTGCTCTACAAAAACAACTAGATCCTTTCCAGCCAATGATTACTTGTAATTATGCTTTCCCCTGCTATTATTCTAATAGACCTGTCATGTTGCTGAGAGGACTTGCGTTTGGAATATACAACGGCTTTTATGGATGGACCGCGGGGAACACTTAATATCGCCCTATTTTTGAATTATCAAGTTCTATCCTTTTGAAGTCTGTGTTAGTGGAACTCCTATTTATGAGATGTGCTGTGCTTAAAGGTTTGCTATTGATGAAGAGGTCCAACAGAGCCTTTATCGAAAGCACGGCAGCATTCTCCCTGAGAGATAAATAGCCGTGCTAAAAGGTATGGTGTGTACCTAGGCTGCAAATTACTAGCCAAGTACCTCGTCCCAGTATACTTCAAAAATACCTTTATGCCTCTTGTTTGTTCTCCTTTCCATTGAGATGAATGACATTTCTGAAACACGGAGGGGTGAGGCGTGCTGGTTGTCGCCGGTCATCGGCGTTAATTGCGTTGCGCGGGCTCATTTGTTCTGGCACAGGATGTCTGTCTGAAGACGCGCACATGAACACAGCTCGCAGACACTGTGCTTGCCATTTGGGGAATTGGCTGGGCTTTACGTTCCCTTAACCAAAAGGTGGACTAGGCTGGGTTCCAACACTTTTTGGAGGAGGGGAAGGTGTATGCAAATGAATTGCCCACCTTGGCACTTGTTCAGAAGAAGCTGAGCAAAGCTGGGGACGGATCAAGGGCCTGAGGTTTTCAGGCAGGGCTATGTACAGAGTGGGGCTCACTCCTGGGCTGGACCGATGGAACAGACAGCCATAGAGACTTAGAATTCTGGGCATAGCCTGATGAGGTGCTATCAGAAAGTGGTCTCAAGGTCTGGTTATCTGGGCCAGCTGGGTGGCCACCACCTTTTGTTGACGTTCCTTTTAGCAGCTCCACCAAATAGCTCGTTTGTGGGCCCAGAGGTGGAAGCATTTGGGACTAACATAATTGGACGATGCAGGCCCTGTTTTGGCCCTGGGCATCTATGATGTGTCGTGGAGAAAGATACATGGGGTGGTTGACACACATAGGAGTTTGGAGGGAAGTCGTGCTGTGGCACTCTCACACTGTGTAGAAATGCATTTTGAGGCAGTCAAGCTTCCAGCTGGTATCCCGGAAGCAGACATCGCTCCCTTGGCAGCCGACATGGAAAACACAGAGGCGGGCCCAGGGAACAGCTTTGGACCATGCGGCAAGAATTTCACATCGATTCCCCAAAGAAGGCAAGCTATTGCTCCAGCGCTCGTTGGCGGTTTTTCATTTAGAACCTCCATGCATCAGAACCTTGCCTACACACTCCCTGTCTAATTCATCTTCACCCATATATTTTACCATTACGGATAGCCTTCCCCTTAAGCTTGTCTATTTACTAGCTGGTGTGACAGATGACAGCGACGCCGAGCCATGCTAGATGGCATTTGTGTGGCGCCAGTGCCAGAAGCATTCTAAGCCTGGGTGTTGCATATTTATTGATCTCCATATTCCCAATAATCTGATGCCCGTCACATTTGACAACACTATGTGGCGGGGTCAGCTAGATGGGGCTAATGAAACTGTTTCCAAGATGGATGTTGTTTTCC